ATCATCATCATCATCATCTAAAAGAACGCTAAAAAAATGACTATAGTGGCTAGGACAACGGCTACAATAACAACATAGACCATCGCAACTACAACATTTTTAATAATGACAACCTATTAGTATTAATAACAACAACAATATGGGAGGTAACGACAACAGCTACAGCATCAACAACAGCAGCAACAACAGCAGCAGCAGCAACAACAACAACAACAACAACAACAACATCAACAACAGCAACAACAACAGCTACAGCATCAACAACAGGAGCAAAAACAGCAGCAGCAGTAATAACAAAAACAACAACAACAACAACAACATCAACAACAACAACAACAATAACAACAACAGCAACAATAAAAACGTCACGAACTAAGCGAATGGATTCAAAGAACAAAAACTGAAATCAAACACGAAACATGCTCTCTTAATAAAACCAAGTGGGTACATTTGGAGGACATCAAGCGTTGGGTCTACTTCAGTCTGTCCTTCCTCTATCTCTTCGTCTATCGTGCCTTTCAGTGCACTAAATTAATACCGTTTATATTATGTCTACGTTTTTCTCTTTGTTAACCCCCCCCCCAAAAAAAAACATCAAAAAAAACAACAACAACCAAAAAAACAACAACAACAAACAAACAAACATAAGCGACAACAACAACAAAACAAAATAAAAAACAAAAACAAGAAAAAACAAAAACAAAAACATACAAAACCCAATCCAACCCAAAGCGAAATTAGCGAAATTAGCGAAATTATTTGTATAGTAGTTGGAAAACTCAAAAAAAAAAAAAAAAAAAAAAAAGAAATGTCAAAGTCTCTGACCGTACAGCGAGACAAAATGCGAACAATGTAAAGATCAAAGTAAAAGTAAGCAGAGCTTATAAAATTGATTTTGAGACCTGTGTCAAATAACAGCAGGTGCGTTTCTCCATGCGGTTCTGTTTGTTTGTTTAGTTTGTTTGTTTGGTTCGTTTGTTTGGTTTGTTTGGTTGGTTGGTTGGTTGGTTTGTTTGTTGTTTTTGTTTTTAAATCTTACTAAGCGCGAATAAGATCTCTGTTTCGTTTGTTCTTGCCGTTGTTGTTGTTCTTGCTGTTGTTGATATTGCTGCTACTGCTGCTTCTGCTGCTGTTGCTAACATTCATGTATTAGAGGGTATCACTGTTAGGTTCTCCCTTCTACTCTTTCCCTGTTTTTGTTATGTTTGTTTGTTTGTTTGTTGTTGTTGTTTGGGGGGGG